TTCTGTTGACAGCAGGACACCTGAGCATGCAGTCTGATGGTGACCCCTGCCCGCAGGCAGCTGGTTCTGTCTGCAGCCCCCCAGGCTCAGCCCTGCTGTGGGCTCCTGGCTCTGGCAGAGCAGGAGGTTTATCCCAGCAGGTGTTTGCCGTGGCAGGAGGTGCATGGGGGGACCGACAGACATCCCCAGGGATAAAACCAGACACCACTGCTGTGCCCTGCCCTGCACTGCTCTGTCCTACCTGTGGCAAACAATGCAGCAACAGGTTGTGGGGGTCCCCTTGCCCCCCTGGCCCGTTCCTCCTTGAGAAGTAGCAGCAGATTAGCCTGGAGCCGCTCTGTGCAGACAAAAGCTGCCACAAAGGGCATTAGGCTTCAGGATTGGATTACTATGTGGCCACCTGTCATTCCCACTTTGTAAATTTATCTCGCTCTGAGTCCAGTTTTCACATTGGAGAAGTTTGCACTTAAAAAAACACCATAAATTCCCCTGCCTGGTGCCTCTCCAAGCAACAGCCTGGCTGAGTTCATCTTAGTATCTTTCTTATTTCAGGCTTCAGAACTGCATGGGGCTGGGGATTAGGGCTGTTTGAATGAAGAGAGCCTTCATTACATTAGTTTAAGTGGTTAATAGGTAAAGTAGGCCAATCCATCTTTAGACTAAGCCTATCACTTCGCCTACGAAGGGTGCAGACTTCTCTGAGGAAATGTTCATTAAAGGAAAAGCTTTTCCTCTGTTCCTCTTGACATGTTAATAGCTCAGGGTTAGGGGCTTGCTCCTTGCCTGTGCAAAATTCATAGCTGTGCAATATTCATAGCTGTGCTCACAAAGCAACTTCCTTTCCTCTCTGGGACCCAGTTTCTGGCAGCTCTGCCCTAGTCATCAGTGCTGAGCCCCACTTGTGCTTTGCTGGCTGGGCTTGGTGGGGAATAAAGGATTTTGGGAGTCTGCTGGTGCTCCTCATCCTCATTTCCTTCTTCCATACTCAGTAAGCAGGTGCTCATCCCTTCCCAAGCAGGGAAGTATGGATGGAGTTGAAATGGGAGGTAGAGGCAGTGCTTTGGTGCTGGGACTCTGCTATGGGATGTTCTCAAGGCCAGAAGTGTTTGTGGGTTTGAAAGGATTAGACAGTTCACAATCACTATGAAATGGGATGATTTGGATGCAAATGCTGTCTCCAGAGGTCTTTGAACTCTAGGTTGCCAGAAGGCAGGAGGATAACAAGGCAGGAGGGATGGCTTGCCAAGGTTTTTGTATTATATTTTCTACAGTTTCTGCTATGGTCCTCAGGGGTGTCTGTGTCCAGCCCTGGGACTCAGCTGAGCTCCCTGTTTCCCATAGCTTGATTCCCTCTGTCATCTCCTTTTGCTCTCCCATATGAACAGCAGTGGTAGCTGTACCTCTGCCTTTCTCACCTTGTGTCAGACAGTACTGGCAGGAGCTGCCCATGTCTCTTTGGTGCTGTGAGAATGCTCCCTGGAGACAGAGGCTCCCCAGTGGTCACAAGCTGCCCCAGGGTGATCTGTATCCACCTCTGAGCTGAAAGTGGGTTTCTGCTGGACCCTACTCCTTTCTCCCAAGGAGCTGCATCCTGCCAGGGCATCATGGCTTCTCACCATCACAGGTCCTCTTTCCCCTCCCAAAGCAGCAGCAATTTAGCATGGCCCTTGCTGTCTTGGAGCCCCAGGAACAGATATGTTTGGGTCTGGATCTGGTCCTCCTTCCACCAAAACATATGTCCAGTGTGTTGTGTTGGAGCTGCAGTGTTCTGCTGGGCCAAGTTGCCCTTCTCCAGCTGTGGCTTGAATGGGAATAAATTCTTCTTGGCGATTTTTCCACCACTCTGAGTTCAGACCAGCCAGTGTACCAGTTCCTTTTGTTCTCAAGGCTCTGCTGTCTCTGGCTGCCAGTATGATGGATGGTGCCTCTGTGGGAGGTTATGGAAACAATGGGAAAGCTCCTCACAATTGACATGCCCATGCAATAAAACCTTGCTTTCCTGGATATGGTGTTGTCAGAAGTTCAAACTGCATCCATGGGCCATAATATTTGGCTTCACTTGCAGCTGTCTTCCTTTCATGCAGCCACTGTACAAACAAAGCAGAGTCTGAGACAATCTTGAGGGTCAGTTTTGGGCTATGCCTGGCACCTATGCAGGTACAATGAAGGGAGTGCAGGACCAAGAGCCTGAGGGCTGTTTTTTGTGGATCCAGGTCTTGTACATAGGTTGAAGGTTCTGTTTCTACCTCTGCTCACCTCAGTCTGTGTTGGCCAACCTGAAGGCAGTAGGTGTGTCAATGTGCCTTGTTGTGCTTTGCTTGCTGTGATGGGTCACCAGAAAAATGTTCTTAAGTTGCCAAGAATTCAGGCCCTCTCCAAAAATAACAATCTGGGAGGTTGCTCAGAACTGAGTGCTTTCAGCCACAACTGCAGTGTGGGTTCAGGAGATGCACTGCTCTGCAAAGCGACGAACACCAGGCCAATGGATGCCTCTTAGTAAAGAGTTACTCCCTGCTTTCTTCCACTTACGGTGTGCTCCTCTATATTTGCTGAAATGCTAATTAGAATCCTGTGTTTCCCAACTGAATCAACTGACTTGGCACTCCATCCCCAGCAATTTCCTCCTGTTTCACAGCCTAGCCCTACTCAATGCCTTTCTTGTGCAAGGAGGGGAATAGTAAACCTTGCATCATTCCCATGAGACTGATAAATACTGGCTGTAGTAGTCCTGGAGGAGAAATCAGTCCCAAAATGCAGGGCCCCATACAACCAGCAATCTGATGAACCTGACCTAAAGCTGAAGGGCTTCAGTGCAACATGGGCAACCTGAGAATGTTTTGGGAACCTTTCCTCTCTAGGCAGGCCACCAGGCCATTAAAGACTTCATGGGTGGAAAACAACCTCTTCAATCAAGCTGAAAAGCAGTTGGTGGTCAGTGCAGGATGTAGAACTTGGGTTTAATGTGGCCATAAAAGGAGATACCACTTAGTAAATGTCAAAATCTACATCAGCCCATGACAAATTTAAGAGTTGCTCTGAGCATTATTGACTGGCCCTATTCTGTGACAGCATTATGGGGTTGCAGGGCTGGCCAGAAAGGTGAAGGATTAGTCAGAGGTTTATTCTGGTTGCTGTTTTTGGCACACATGCTGGCTCCTGCCTTCCAGAAGCTCTCACATCCCAGGTGTTTGGTAGACCAGCATGATTTTTATCTACATGTGAAACTCCACTTGTGTGGACTTGAAATCCCAGCCTTCAGGGTTGCCACCACCTCTGGCCATGGCTGGAGATTTTCACAAACTGATATCCTCTTCCTCCCCAGTTCAGCTTTTTCCATCACCACTTCTCCCAGAGTGCCATGCAGATTTGGCACAGGGACTGTCTCCCACCTTGGGACTATGGAGAAGGGGCTTTACAGGCAGCCTCTAGGCACAGCTCACAGGGAGGATGAAGATGCAGCCACTGGGTGCCCCTTGCCAGTAAACAGATTGCACAAAGGTAATGCCAGAAGCTGATGAAGTAAAATGCCAGGTACAGCATGAGCTCACCAGTAGTTGCATAAATAGCTACTGACCAAATTTCATAGACATGGGATGATTTTCAATGCAAACAGACCTCTTATTCCTGGATCCCCTGTTATTTGCCCTCAGAACAGATTGGTCAGTTTTCTTCCCTTGAGTTTTTAATCAGGGCAGCCATTGGCTTTAGCACAAATTATCAGTGGTGGCTGTTTTAATAGCAAGAGCCCTGGTGATCTTTGCTGTGGAAGCATAAAAGCAGTGAGGGAGGAGATGGCTGCTGGGAACAGCCTCTGTGCAGTGTCATATGGCTGAGGGAAGCACAGCTTCAGGCTTGCGGATCACACACTGGCTGCTTATTTCTCTGTGCTTAGTGGATGCTTTGAAAACTTAATCAAGTTTTATAGCTTTAATTTCGTGCCTGACTCCCCTTTTGCCTTTTCTTTTCAACTGTCTCACAACCCAGAGCAAATGAGTCTGTTTGGGCTATATAGGAGAAGAACTGGCAAATGGTCTAAAATATTTTAACTTGCCTAGTGAATGATAGGAAAAAATGACTCTTCCTGCTTTGTGCCACTTCCATCATTTCTGCAAGCTCCCTACTCTTTCCCCATGTGGTTAATTAGAAATAGCCAGGGAATAAGGTGGAATTGCTGAATGCTTGAAGTTTTAAAAGTACTTTGTGGAGGTATGTCCTGCCCATGCATTGTCCTGCAACAAGGTTGTGTTCTCCACATTTGTATCCCATATCCTGACCTGCTGTAACCTGTGGAGTAGTGCTGGGGTGAGGTTGTCCTCCTTGTCTCCTGGACTGTGCCAAAGATGCCATGGGCAGCTCTTGATGCCCCTTCTAGTTCATGTGAGGAAGCAAGTGATAAGGAATAGTGAAGCAGTTCTTCTGCTTAGGGGGTGCCCAGTGGAGTTTCACCTAGTCAGTGAAGTCCTGCTGTTGGCAAGCCAGGGAAAATTGCACCCTTGTGCCTGAACTGGGAAAAGCTTTGCATTTGGGATGCTGAGGGAAAGTGAGGTGGATGTGCTCTAGTGATATCCTGCTTTTCTGCTGTACCATCCACTCACTCCTGTGGGGAAAGGAGCTTTGGATTTGGGCTGAGGTCTCAGGGGTGTTGACATGAGCCAGAGCAGCCACTTGGTGCAGCTCAGGACTCATCCTGACCAGTCTGGAGCTGGTGTGGTACCTGCTGGACTTAGGTCCAGGCCCTAAGTGTAGCTCAGCTAATCCACTCACGGATAACTGGGAGATTACTCAGCTGGATTTCTAATACAGTGGCCTTTAATAATAATCCCTCCCCAATCCCTAAATCAATGTGAATTTAATTTCTCTGTATGATCCAAATGGCCTGTGAAGCCATTTTAGAGAGAAGAATTCTTGTGTATCTATGTGTGAACATACATGTGAATGCATATGGATATTTTTGTTCCTCTTCCTTGCCTTTCTGACACGTCTATGTGTTTTGCTGTCAGGGACCTGATGCCCAAGACATTGGAGGGACAGATCACCATGGAGAAGACCCCCAGCTACTTTGTGACCAAGGAGGCCCCAGCCCGCATTTCTTCCATGTCCAAGGGCACCAAGCTCATCGTGGTGGTGCGGGACCCCGTGACCAGAGCCATCTCGGACTACACCCAGACGCTCTCCAAGAAGCCTGACATCCCCACCTTTGAGAGTCTGACCTTCAAAAACAGGACTACAGGCCTGATCGACACCTCATGGAGCGCCATCCAGATTGGCATCTATGCCAAGCACCTGGAGAACTGGCTCCTCTACTTCCCCATCGGGCAGATCCTCTTTGTCAGCGGGGAGAGGCTCATCAGCGACCCCGCAGGGGAGCTGGGCAAGGTCCAGGACTTTCTGGGCCTCAAGAGGATCATCACTGACAAACACTTCTACTTCAACAAAACCAAGGGCTTCCCATGCCTGAAGAAGGCGGAGGGCAGCAGCAAACCCCACTGCCTGGGGAAGACCAAAGGCAGGACCCACCCTGACATAGACCAGGAGGTGGTGCAGAGGCTGCGGGACTTCTACCGGCCCTTCAACATGAAGTTCTACCAGATGACAGGGCAGGACTTCGGCTGGGACTGAGCCTGGCATGGGAAAGCCCTCTGTTATTATTTGCCCAGCACGGTTTGCTTATATAAAGAGATATATATGTATGTAAAATGTACAGAAATCTATTTTATAATAATTTATTTTTAATTCCTAAGCAATTAATTCACTAAGCTGCCTAACCGCACTGGCTAGAATGGTAGCCTGTAACCTGTTTAACATTCCACACTGTTTAATTCTAATGTCTCTCCTTTCCTTGTTTTTTTCCCCTTCTGCTTTCTCTTTGGTTTGGTTTGTAACAGACAGTGCTTCCACTTTTCCTAAAAAGAAATTTGTATTTAAAAATCTAAAGAAGGAAGGGAGGGAAAGCACAAGTTTATTTTTGTTACGGGTATCTGGCCTTTATAAACACTTGCTTTCCCTATCCCGGTGTCCCAGTCTCTGCTCCACTGTTGTAGTTCCTCATCCCACAGTTTTCTGGTTAGTTCCATGGCCCTGGGGGGTTTCTCTGGGGTTGGTAGGAGGAAAGCTGGGCATCCCTGCACCCCACATACCTCTGCTGAGCAGCAGCAGGTTTTGCCAGTGGCTGTAAGCGTGGGAACCCCAAGCCATAGGACTCCTGCTCAGGATTGCCAGGAGAGCAATGTGCTCTTTTTCTGGCAGAGAAGCTGCAGAGCCTGTTTCATGGGCAGAGCTCTTCTCAATACGGTTTTCCTTCCTGCTTTTTGTCCAGGGTGTTCTTTCCCATAATCCCTCTATGCATTTAAAATTTTTACTCCAGGACAAATGTAAAATGCTGTGTCTGTGTGTGACGTGTGGTCAGAGGGACCTGCAGAAAGTGTCGTTCCAAAAATATCCATGCACGCCGGGCACTGCTGGGAAATGGCAATGCCTGCAGTCCCTGGAGCAACCTCCACCTACCAAAGACACCAGGAGAACCACTGGGAAAACCCCAGGTGTCTGCCTGGCATCATCCCAGCATAGAGCGTGTCCCAGGACATGGCACAGGCACTGTTACCTCCAGCCCCACAGCCACCGCAGCACCTCCTAGTACATGAGACTGGGGAACATCACCCTTAGCCCTATTAATTCCCATCACTTTTTGGTCCACCACCCACCCATGATATATCCCAAGGAGCATTATTTGCTTAGAGCCAAGAAGAAGTGCTGCCTTTACCAGCAAGGGTGAATCTGTAGGAAGGCAAGGGGCAACCTGGGCATGCTGGTGTTGCGATATTCCTGGCAGGACAGGAGGCTCCAGACCTTTAACCAGAATGAAATCCTTCTCCTTGTGTGTAACCAGTTGCTGTGGGACTCCAGGCCAGATTAGGTGGGCTGTCCTGAGAGCTCTGCCAGTGTTTTGTGAGCTCAGGAGGTGCTGATAAGCACTGTGTGTGTCCGATGCCTTATCATTGCTGTCAGAGACTCTTCCAGCTTGACTGGAACACTTTCAGAGCAAGGTGGCAGCAGAAGTGATTTTCTCATTGAATTTTTAACAGAAACAAAGATATGATGTTGTTGGGCAGCAAAACTCCCCACACCTGAACTGCAGTGCTGAAATAATGCACTTCCCCCAGTATCTCCTGGTGTTGCCATGGGAGTGCTTCCATATGCAATGTGAGTGAAACTGGAAACAACAAAAGCACCAATGAACAGAACACCTAATTTCATATGCCTAATATTTCTCTATTGCCTACAGAAATCCATGCCCTGTGCCTCTGCAGTTACCCATGGCTCCCCCCTGGAGCTGCCCATTGCTGAGCTGTGTCCAGCTGTGGTGGGGCCCATACAGTGGTGTTTCCCATATGTTTGTTTTACTTTTGCAGCCTCCTCACTCCTGCCCCTTCAATCTCTCTGCTGTGGGTGATGAAAACATTCCTCAGAGCCTGGGCTGCTCTGTTTGGGTATGATCTAGTCCTGCTCTGGCAGACAGAGCAGAGCAGTCTTGGCTTGGGGTCTGCTGCTGGTGCCAGGGAGCTGCTCTTAGGAGCTTTGTTTAAAGCTGAAGGTTTTTGGCTTGGCTCAGCAGTGTCACACCTCCAAAGGGATTTAGGGACTTGCACCACCATGTCTGGGTTCACACTTGGGTTGCAGTGTACGTGGGTGACCTCAAGGAAAGGGAGATTTTATGCGTAACATCATCAGGCTGAGCTGCCTACAAAGCTGCTGGGAGCAGGATGCAAATCCCTCCTTGGGACTGGCCTCCAAACACAACTTCCCACAAACAGGGAAGTTCTCCTTCTTGCCCTGGGCCATTTCTAGTGAAGAAATGACACTTGCCAATGCAGTCTGACTTCAGGGGCTACAGGTGGGATGTGGGACCTGCTGGGCTGTGCAGGCTGACAGCCCCTGCTTTTTCCCTGTCCTGCAAAATCCAGCTGCAGGCCTGAGCAGTTGGGTGGATCTATGCACTTTTGAGGGGTTTGGCTTCAACTCCAGCCAGGTCCCTGACTCTGTGTCCTGCTGCCAGGGCAGGTGATGAATGCAGGAATGTATCTGTTTTATCCCAGACCCTGCCACTGTTGGGTGACTGAGCTGAAGGAGCTGCAGGCACTGAGAAGAAAATACTTCATGGTGGAAAAACAAGTGATTTTTGGTTCTCAAAACTTCAGTCTTCCTTCTAGCAGCTTATGCAATGCATGGAAAGAAGCCTGACCTCTCCACTTGGCCCTTGGGTGAGCTCCCAGCCTTGGCTGTGCCACTTCTGAGGGTGTTTTACTGGTGGAGCCTCCAGGACCATGTGTTGGCACGGGCTCCTTTCCAGGCACTTCCCTCCAGCATATGTGCCAGCTGCTCAGTGCTGGAAGAGTTTGGAATCCCCTATGTCTTCCTCGCTTTCCTGGAAACAAGTTTTTAATATCCCAATGCCTTCCTCAGCTGTACATCAGAGTGTGGGCTTAATTTGTATAATCAAACTCTGCTGTGAAGAAGTCTTGTGAAGCAAACTTGTTGGAGAGTGAAAATACAGAGAGTGAGGAATAACTCTTCTAATCATAAGCAAATTATTAGTCCTGATTCAATATCCTTCATAATGAAGTCTGCACTAGACTTTTTTGATGTAAAAAAGCCTTACCTAACAAGTATGACAATGAAGGTGAATTCTTTGTGGTGTTCATCTGGTTGCTAATATTGGAATCAGTGCATTTTTTTTAAATACCCCCCTTATTTTTAAAATTAAGCTTGGAGGTGTGATTAGAAGTTTGGTTGGTTGATTCTTTTTTCACATTGTAACATTAATTTATGGCTGAGTTTCATTCAGTCCTGTATTCAGAAGTGCAGTATAGCTATTAGTGATGTGTTGTCTGTAACATGGTTCTATAGCGTAGTAGCCAATTTGTAAAAAAAAGAACAAAACAGAAAGAAAAACAAACAAACAAAAGCCACAAAAAAGAAAATCTAAAAAAAAAAAATATATGGAGTATTTTGTGGTATGTACAACACAAATTAATTTTACACAGAGAAAGATGTTTCTAGGAAAATGAAATTCTGATAATTCATACTATTTGTATGAACAAATAAAAACTCTATTTTATGAAGCGACAGGCACAGCTGTGTTCATTCGGGAGGGCTGGATGTGCTGTCCATCCCAGGACTGTCTGTGCAGCTGCACTGGCCCGGCAGCAAAGCCCAGGAGTCTGTGCTGAGGCCAGAGGGACACGATCCTGAGCACAGGCTCCCAGAACTGCTCCCAGGCTTTGCGGGGCGGAGGTGTCTGAGTGCTGCTTGGTCAGTGGTGTGGGGACAGCTCTGTCCCACTGGACATGCCTGCATCCAGCGCCAGGTCGGGGAAGAGATCTGAGGGGTTACCCTTGGCCTTGCTGCAAAAATTGTGTGGGCTCAGGGATGCTCCAGGGCAAACTCAGTCCTTTTCAGCTGCAGTGGAGAATGTCTCCAGTTCCAAGTTACTTTTCCAAAGCTTTGCTCTTACTGTAGTGATCTTGATCCAGTGGTTGCTGTTGCTCCCTACACACTCAGCATTTTTTGACAAAACTCCATTATCACTACATTCAGAAGAGTCCTGGGTTAGTGCTATACAACACAACACCTGAAGAATTATACAGATTTCTGTAATGTACCAAATAACACTAAAAATGAATTTAAATAATTTCATTTTTCTTTGCAAGCCTAGCATCCAGTGCAGAATAATTGATGGTACTCTTTCAGATTGTCCATTTTTCAGAGACCTTCTAGAGGAGGTGTCAGAACAGAGCACTAGATTTAATTTAGCAGTTTAAGCAGAATTTAACCAGGAAACCTCCAGCTAGTCAGGGCTGTAATTAGCTGCTCCCAAACTCTGGCAATGCTTAAACTCTATAGGTGTCTCATTTTTAAAATATGTAGATTTTACTTTAACATTCCCATGTAACTTTCTAGCGGCACAGCTGGATGACCTCAGTTTGATGGAGCTGAGCTGCTCCTTACCTCATTCTCACCTCCCCTTGATTTTGTTCCAAACCAGGTGTGAATGCCTCAGCAGATGTCAGTCTTGGAGGCAGCCTGAATCTGAGTTCACCCTGGTTTTATAGCAGCTTGTGGACCCCTGTCCCTTATTTCTGTATTTTATATGAGATGCTCAGTTCTGGGTTAGAAAGAGCGTGGATGCTTTTCCTTCACAGAGGGATTGGTGCTGCAGAGGAAAGGGAAGGGGAGTCCTTGTGGGGTTCAGCATCTGCCCTGTCTTCTCTATGGCCCTGGAAACTATTCCCAGTTGTACCTGGGCTTGTGGATAATGGGGATTCATTCTCCAGTTTGGTTTGGGGACCATTTTGAGGTGCTGTTTTGGCAAGAGCATCTAGAAGACAAAGATAAGGATGTCTGTGGTTCATGGGGCCCTGGATACAGAGAAGGGTTTTCTCTGAAGAAGAAGGGCAGAAGGGTCATCGTGTAGATCTGGGACCCTCAGCTGAAGGAGGAAGTCCCTGAAGGCAAACGGATTGATGAAGAGGTAGGTGAGACTGTTGAAATGCTGCTGCTAAACATGGTGATATCCAAGGTGGATTTACTTTTTCTCTTGAGTGATACAAGAAAGGTGAGAAACAATTTCTTTAACATAGAAATCAAACTGGTCTCCAGGTTGTGCAAGTGAGTGTGACATTTCTAGGGGACATGCTTGGGCTGATGGCAGCATCCCAGAGAAGCGTCACCTTGCAGGGATGAGAATACACAGAGCAGGGAGGAATCCACAAGAAAGGGTACAAGCTTCTGTCAGGAGCATCTTTATGTGGCACTCAGAGAGTGTTGAGACCTCCCTGAGGAAGATGAGGGAAAGTTGAAATGAGAAAGGGTAATCTGGAGAGGCTGTAAGCACAAGGGAAAGGTCTGGGGAGGATCTGTGAGGGCAAGAAGTGCTGGTAAATCTTGGAGTTGAGTCCATGCTAACAAAGGCATTGAAAAAGTTGGTAGATTTCATAGGTAGAACCACAT